TACGATTGCCTCTATTCTTCACGCTTTTCGCTCAACGATGATCAACTATGTTCTTCGCACATACACGTTCCTGACTGCTTACTTTGATTTTCATCTTAATTTCCTTCTTCATCTTCAAAATTCATATGCTACCAGGTCAAGAGAGGATTTATAGCAGTACGAATGCGTGCGAACCTATTGCATCCGCCTCTTCAATAAAAGATAAGGAATAGCACACGTCCAAAAAACAGGCACAATAATGCGGAAAAAAAGTTATGTCATGTGAGCTATCCTGACGGTTTCCGCTTTATATCTAAACTTCCAAGAGTGAAAGAAAATAAAGTATAAGCCTGGCAGCTTATAACATTAGCATTGACATTATACATGGACCGAATCGAATAAATATTCTTCGAATAAAACATTCGTCGAATAATTCGAAAATTCGAATATTCGAAATTTCTGATTTTCGAGTAATTCGATAATTCGAATATTCGAAAACTTTGTTTTTTTTTCAAATTATTCGAAAATTTAAATATTCGAAAAAAATCCGTTCGGTTACTCAAATATTCGAAAAAATAATATTTTCGAATTATTCGAAAATTCGAATATTTGAAAAATATTATTTTCGAATTTTTCGATTATTCGAATATTCGAAATTTCTTCTCAAACTCCCAATGTATAATTGACATCATTATTACGAATCAGAACGGAGTTGAATGTCTTTACCAAAATTCGGGAAACTTTCCACACTTGTAATAATCAATTTCCATTTACCTGCATTAAAAGGGATGCCAGCAAAGGTAAAGCGATCCAGGTAAAAATGTGCTGGAAATTTGGTCTTTGCGGAGGCATCAGACAATGTGCATTTGTCATGCTCTAAAATTATGTGCGTTTTTTTTTTCTAAATTGGGTATTTAAGTCCTAGAATGAGAACGACGCACATTATCGACTTCTATAGTACGGTTATCAGCAATCATTCCCCTTACAAAATTCGCTACAACACCTTCTCCTTCCACCTGAGAAATTTCCAAAACTTTCGTAATTTTTGGAAGTCCAGAGTTTAAACTACATGAACAGAAGGCAAAACGATCTGTTACCATTATTGCAGCACTCGATGAGCCCATCTGTTCAATT